TATGAAGCTTTCAAAAAATATACATTATATGCATAATTCATGGAAAAGGATCTATATCTTGAAAGTCTCATATCTCGAAGAGGCTTCGTTGAAAACTTCTGCATTTTTGTATAAAAGCTAATCTAACTGAGTTCTTTATATGCAGAAATTTTCAGATCGAAATTCGAAAAAATGAGTTATTCAAAAAGTTGTGGCTTTTAGAAAAAAAGACGTTTTAAAAATTCAATAGTTTATTTAAATCACAATAGGAACTCAAATCAATCTAGGGATTTTATTACTACACTATGTAGTATCTATAGGCAAAAAAATCATGATAATCAGAAGGAAACAGCAGAAGAAGTGGTTCCTTTGTTAGTCGACATCTAACGACATGTAATGATTTAAACAGAAAAGAAAAGAACCAATATAAATATATATATATATCATTTATTTTTGAATTCTATTACGAATTTATATGGATGGATGAGAAAAACAATGATGTGTCTCTCTCTTTTGTTATGATTGTATCTCGTGATACACAATATGGTTAAACTATTTCTTCTTGGATAAAATCGTGTTGTTTTGTGGATTTCGAACATTCCATTATCATATCTATTTATCAGTTTTCTTTACGAGTATATCATCCGACTGGTACATGTTTAGATATATGCGTTCTTCAAAGTGTTGTAACAAATCCAATAAAAGTGTTGTAAAGCTAATTAATTGTTAAATTTTCAGATTTAATCTAAAAAAGAAGATTGATTAAAAAGAAAACTTAATGACAAAACTATAATTAATATATAAAAATATTCAATATTTTTGACTTGTTGTTAATCTATTTATTATTGAAACATGTTTTTCTTTTTTATTACTTTTATTCAGATAATGAGCGGAAATTCTAATATAAAAATGTCTACATTGTCATCGTCTCATTTATATAGCATACCTAAACGAAAAATACTTCCAACTGTACTTAATTTTATGGATGGTTCTCGTATGATATCAAATACTAATAATAAATACAATAAATCATCAACAGATATATTTGATTTACTACGACGGGCTATAAATGAACGACGACGTATTGAAGTGTTGACACGTGATTGCCGAGGTATCTATGGAATTCTTATTGGATGGCTCATTGTTTTTGATAAACATATGAATTTAATTATGTCTGATGTGGATGAAGTATTTCGACGATTAACTGATGGTCATGATTATCTTGAGTTAGGTCCAAAAAAACAAAATATACCATTAAATAAATGTAAATCAGATTAGAAAAAAAAACGCATCTGTTTTTTTCAATCAATCAATCAATCGATCTGTTTTTTTTATATTTTTTAGCTGATACATCTATACCAAAGACTACAGAAATAACGAATGATTTCCAAGCATTTCGAGCTCAATTAGCAAATTTTTTACGCAATAAAAAAAAGCAACCAATTATTGCTAAACCACCACAACAATCATTTATTGATGAAGATGACGAAAATGATAATGAATATCAACAGTCATGTGAATGTCATCCTGAACAATTTTTATCAATGGAATTGTTGACTATTAATAATTTGACTGTACAACGTCTTAGTAGTAAAATAAAATATGCTGATACATCATCATCATCATCACAAACATCAACAATATTACCAACATCAAAACGAGCTAAAGTTCGTTTTTTTTCTCGACATATTCCTAAATTATTTATAAAGGGCAATCAAGTCTGTCTTATTCGTCTTTTATCTTCTTAATAAATGATTCGCATTTAAAAGATATTTTTGTATTTGAAACTGATTTTTATTTCACATCCATTTAATAACAGGAACAAAAAAAAAACAATGTTTCCTTTTTCCTGCGATAGTATTAACGTTTCAATGCAAACATATTGATAATCCGAATGAACTTTACAATGATAATAAATAACTAATTAGATTATTGCAAATCTTCTCAAGAATATTATACATGAAAATCAGTATACAGCTAATGATACCAAGGACGGAGTAAGGAGAGGGGAACAGAGAAGATTCAGTTCCTCTCAAATGAGATTTTTGAAAGGTGTGTTTTTTTATTCAAAAATCTAGCCAGCAAGCTCCAATGGTTTGAATGAGAGAGGGGAAAGCTGATCTTCTTCCAGCTCAAAATACTGATTCCAATACTGAATAGAACTGAAATAGTTCTTCGAGATATCAAATGTTGGCTATTGGTTTTCTCTTAGTTTTGTGTATGCTTTTAAATAATATATTCTCTAAATTACTTTTCTCATTTATAGATTACTCTATTCGAAGCTTTTATGAATTTGTTCATGAGGCAGAAATTAGTTAATTGTGAAACAATGAAAAAAAATATTCATTTTGTTATTTTGATAATAAGTTTAAAAGTTTAGAATTCGATTAAAAATAATAATTTATAATGTATTTCAATTATGACAAAAGTCTTTAGAGTTAATTCATGATAAATATCAAACATTATTACTCTAATTTAATTAGATAACTTTTCATAATTTTTATTAAGCATCACATTGATATTTTTTATATTCTATGTATCGGATCATACGAAGTGCTACCAATAACTAGTCTATATACTCGACAAACTATGTCAGGAATAGACATTATTTCAAGTATTTCCGATTCAGACTATAAGACAGAAGAAAAAGAAATCACAAAGAGAACTAAATCGGAAGTGTTTATGTATAATGGTAAATAACTAATAGCTTTGTTAATTGTTTTAACACATCATAAAATGAAACATTGAAAAAGTATCAAAGATCTATAAGAATAAATAACTTTTCTTGATAGATCTCATATATGATACATCATTAAGAAGCAACGAATGGACCATTAATTCTGATATTTGTGATTATTGTTATAAATAACTATGCTTATATTATCCTTTGGAAAGCAATCAGATGAATAGATAATACTAAAAGAAATAACGAAGAAAAGACTAAAATGAGAAGGACACATCAATGCGGTAGATCATTTGATTGGCATTAAGAAAAGAATATACTGTTATCTCTTTGCTGACCTCGCTCATCACACTAGATGATCAATTTTCTTCATCAAATACCAAATTTATACGTATATTTTTTATCTATGTAACATAGAATTGTTGATGTTTTTTTTATTTTTTGTTGTTCTTAGCTGATGTTCATAAGCAATACCGTATGTGTAGAGCTATTACAACATTTTTTTTAGTGCATATGCATATGACTACGTAATCATATCAACACATTCACATACATATGCATATATATATACATATGTGTGTGAGAAGAAAGAGAGCAAAAGTGTGTTATTTGAGCCATCATTGCGAACAAATGTTTTTTGGCCTGCTGGTCATTATCTTTGTTAATACTCGTTTCTGATGGCAGCATAAGAAAGAGATATGTTAAAGAGTATAGGCAATCGAGAGTACGAATGAATGCAAAACGGCAGGCAACGAGATGATACACAACAACGATAGATAGAGATGTCTTAACTCGTATGTTCTCTGTCCTTTTTTTTATGCTATATATCTGTATTCATCAATGTTTCATATACAAATAAGCAATGAAAGACTTCTTTCGTCTTTTGTTTCTTGTCGTCCTACACATATATATGTTAAGTATGTTGTCTGTATATCGTGATATGATCGGTTTTTTTTGTCTATTTAATGGTCGTCATTTCTATATATTTCTAGCTAAAGAGACACTCTATTAGTATGTCTGATGTTTGCTTTTCTATGTCGATCAACTAGCAAATTGATAGAACTATCATTCGCCTGTTTCCACAGACATAGATCCAATTACTTTGAATTTCATGTGTATTTCGATGACATTCTTTTTTTTGCTGTCGAACTTCATCTTTCTTTGTACAACTCAGTTAGTTAATAATTTTCCTTCCTGTGTACTCGTGACAGTATTGTAAGCAGCCGAAGAAGAAAAAAACGATGCATTTAGTTCCATTATATTCTGTAAAAACAGTAAAAGAGCAAATGTACATCGTATTGGTGTCGTAATTCTCTATCGCTGGTCAATGGTCGTGTGAAGAAAGACACTCGTCCTTTTCTATTTCATCATTTTCTTTCTCTCCTCGAGCACTTTTTTCACAACTCTCCAATTATGCGTTTGTTGACCTAGGAGAATGTAGACCAATTGTTGTTAACCACCAACATAGAACTACCAGTTTTCTTTATCACAGTTTACTTTTTTTATCATCAAGGTTATGATAATCGTATCGTATAACAAACTTTTATAAGTGATTCACTTTTTATTTTTGTACATGATTCATTCGTTTGTGCAATAGATATCCCTTTGGTTTTACTTTTCAAAGAAAAAAGAAACAGTGAGATAATCCGAAGATCATACATGGACAGTAAGTAGTCATTAATAGTTGAGAATGTTCAGTTTAATATATAAGAATTATTATTAAATATAAGAATTGTGTTATCTGATATGATTGATCACATCTAATCCGATATTCTCTACTGAACTGTTGATATAATATGTTATATCAATTGATATCCTCTGTGAAACACTATAAGAACTATTTGTATCCCTCGAGCTAAATATATCTCTTCGTTTGTGTAAGAAACCGAAAAAGAATAAGAATAAAATAGAAATCAAACATACACCTAGATATGCAACTGAAAGAATGAAATAACATTAGAATTGCTTTTTTACTATTTCATATAATAACTAGCTTGAATTGTAATGCAAACATTCACTATTATTGTTTTTGTTTTTTTTATTCTAGCGTATCTTATTCTCAACCTGATGATGTCCTCAACATTTTCTTCCTTTCGCTCTCGTATTTTTTCGTTCGTTTAATAGTGTATTGTGAAAAACAATATTACGTAGATATGATTTACATTCGATCATAGCTATGATTAGAAACTATTGTTACTACTTATCAATCGAAAGAATGTTAACTGTATGCGAACGGCTCTTTGTTTTTTTTTCCAACTATATTGTTCTATTTAGACATCAAAATGTGAAAAGTAATTTTTTTGACTAATATGATTTTGATAAATTATGTTTATACTCTATGTCGATGTTATTATTGATCATTGACGTTCTTTTTGCTTTTTATTCAGGTAAATATCGTACGATAAAAATGAATATTTTCTATATTTAATCTTCTTTGTAATTGATAGCCAACTTGATTTGTTTAATATCATCGTCGCCATCAAAGAAAATAATCGATATTCAAATAGGTGATGATCACGTTTTTGAGTGTCTAATAAATCGAAATAAATGGACACTTCCATCAATTCTTCAATGGTATCGTTCAATAAATAATTATTCAATACCAATTGCTAGTCAATTTAATGATTATCCTGTTCATATTGATGATTCATATGTTAATAGATATAGTCTTCTTTCAAATGGATCTTTAAAAATTGAAAATATTCAATTAAATGACAATGATACATTTGAATGTCGATTAATTTTAATTGATCGTGGTTTGCTTGATATAAAAGAAAAATATTTTATAATACTTCGTGTTAATGGTATAACTTATAAAAGATTACTTTATTCTAAAAACATGAATTTTTTCTTTATATTTTTCTAATTTTAGAACAACCACGTTTTATTAATCAATCCAATCCAATACAAATTGCTGCACTATATTCAACAGTAAATTTTATTTGTCAAATCTATGGTGTTCCATACCCAACGATTGCATGGTATAAAGTTATTCAACGAAGCGAGCAAACGGTTGATGATGAAGACTTACGATTACTTTTAGTCAATAGTCAACAGTATGCATATTCTATTTCTTTAGTTATATTTGTGTTTGCTTAAAGGGTTATTTTGCTTTTCATTCGATACAGTTTTACTCTTCATAATGTGGATGACAGTGTGGCAGGCAAATATAGATGTGTAGGAAAAAATCAACTCGGCTTAGTACAAAGTGAATTTCAACTTCTCATTCGTGGTATGTAAAAAAAATAAATATTTCTATTTTCGTTTTTCGTTACGCTTACATTGATTTCTTTATGACAAAAATAGGATCTATTTATTGGCGTTATTTTTCTGAAAGTCAAACAGTTAAAATTAATGATAATATTACCTTGAAATGTGAAGGTCAAAGTAGTGAGCTATTACAATATCAATGGTAAGAATCAACTATTAAGCAAAAAAAACCGAGAAATGAGTTGTGACCATTTTTATACTAGGTTGAAAAATGAAATTTCAATATCGGATACGATATCATCACAAGATCGTATACGTACATTTAGTGATGGTATTCTTAATATTAATAATATTGAACCTTCTGATCATGGATCATATGTATGTAAAATCAGTACATTCAATTCGACAAGTATTCGTAGTAAACCAGCTTTTATTACTGTTAAATGTGAGTTTATAATTAGTTCTTTTTTATGTGTTAATGTGTGAAAAAAAAATGAATAATTAGATCCGCCTATTCCGTCACGTAATCGTCAAACAAATAATTTAACATTAATTCAAGGTTCATTAGGTGTATGTCCATGCTTACTCGATGCATATCCACCCATTCAATCGGTTTCTTGGTATCGAAACCGAAGGCCTATTCGTATTGAACCGAAAGGTGACCGATGAAAAAAATTTTTAATAAAACACTATTCTTTCTTTTTTTTATAATTTATATGTATAAGGTGGTGCGTATACTATCAATTCTGAATATGCTTTAGTTATAAAATCAGTTGAAAGAAATGATAACGGTGAATATTTTTGTCGTGCACAAAATTCAGAAGGTTTCGGTCACGACAGCATGCCATTTTATGTTATAATAAAAGGTTTGAATTTAAATTTTTTTTATGAATTTAATTAATCAGAAAACAAAATTTCTAGAACCAATTCAATTTATTTCAAAACCAGATTCAATTTATTATGTTCGTGAAAATGATCGACTAATATTACCATGTGTTGTCTTTGGTAATCCACAACCAAGGATTACATGGCTTAAAGTATAAATAGATTTGTTCTTTGTTCGTATAAAAACAGTTTTTGCATACATTTTTTTAGGATTCAATAGAATTAAATCAAATCAATGAAAATCTAACTTTAGAATATATTGAAAAAACTGATCATGGTTTATATATATGTCAAGCATCAAACCAATATACCACAATTAATATAAGTACTTTGATTATTGTTGAAAGTGAGTTGTGTTTTAATGTATAAAATCTAGCAAAGAAAATAATAGAATTTATTTTTATTAACAAAATAAATTCAAGGTTCACTTATTTTATTCAGACAACATCAAATAAAGAAAAAAAAGGACATACATTTTTAAAGTCAATAAAATATATTTTTTACAATTCGAGCTTTTTTTAGCATCAAAAATTTCAGAGTCTGTACGACATGTTACGTTTATTTATTTTTATGATGCCTTACATGTTAAAGCTATTGCATGAGCTTCATTTATAAAAACGAAAATTTTTTCTTTGTGATGAAACCTAAAATGTACATTGCTCACAGAGTAACAATCAAATTATTGTTGCCCATAGCATCGAATCTTGAGTGTTTGCATTTAATTGCAAAAAAAACTTTCGATACACTTTCGGCTATGTTAAAATTTGAAGCATGTGATGATTTATTCATAGGTAATTGAATAAGATCGAAGAAAATCAATAGTTTAATTTAAATTAGGAAGAAAAAATACAGACTTTTTTTTTCTAGCCTGTAACAAGTTCTACAACGAACATAGAAATGTGTCTACACGTCTTATAACATACACATCTTTATGTTTTTTACCTGAGATCAAAATCGACATAGTTTATCCATGACAAACGATAAAATTTTTTCTACTGCTTGTACTTATCATCTACTTTTATCGATCTGTAGATTTATATTTATACATCAATATCATGACAATAATTGAATGAAAGTAGAAACCTAACTTTATAATCAGACCAGTAAGTCATGTATACTGAAAAGACATCCCTATAGAAAATATTTATTGATCTAATACAGTACGTATCGATCGAGATTAGACATAAAAGAAACTCTTTTTGCATAAGAATTTTTTAAATGAATTTGATGACCTAATTGTACAAATTACATTAATTCATAATGATCAGTTTGAAAGTGTAAACAATAACTTACGAAGGACCTCGTTGAATTGATAAGTTCCGTTCGAAATCATATCTTCCCCAGTATAATTTAATGCTAACATTTGCTACATGAGAAAAAAGGAAAGTTTCTATTGGAAATTTAGAAAAAAACAACCATGTCATACAGACAATCTGTTTATTTTGAGTGGCGTATGACAGGCTTAAAACCTAGAATCGATGCATGTCATAGACAAATCTATGAACTATTGTTCGTTACGATCTATGAGAACCCTAGATACAAATTCTTGATATATGGATAATATAAGCGATATGTAATTTCAGTACACTGTTCATCGAAAACTAAACTAACGTCCACTAACACATTCGATCAACATGCAGTGAATACTTATATTACTGACTACATTGGATTGATATGCACTGATTTACCTTACTTATCCATGCTGTATCAGTGTGTCAATGCTTCAGTGAATACCACGTCAATGTATACATGTAACAAACAACGAAAAAATCTGATTATCATAGATTTTTTTATGATTAAAATAATCTATGATAATCAGATTTTTTTTGCGTTTTTTTTAAATAGATATCTATCAGTCTATATTAATCTATTATTACCGTTTAATCTATTTTAAGCATACATATCGAAGATAAGTGATTTTCTCCATATTCTCACACAAGTTTCGTAATTTTTCATAACTATTTGGATTGCTCATATAGACAAACTAGAAAGTTGCTACCGAATCGAAGTCACTCAAATGTAGTAAAGTTGGAACTTGTATATAAATTGTTTTAAATTGAGATGCTCTAATTACAGTAGAAAAACGATTAAAATCGATTTGATTTTCAATCAATATAACAGACTATTTGCCGAAAATTCAGCTTGAGTGAATTATTGCTTGAAACAGTCTATTATAATCTGTTATTTTGTTGAAGCTAATCAAAATGTGACGCATTGAATCGATTTTCTATGATTGTTTTGCGAAAATCAATTTCAATCTGGTCTTTTGATCGTTCTTTTTTTACACGAGTAGTCAGTACACTTGCTGTCTGTCAATCATTGTCAGTTGTTTCACTCGAAACTGTACATACCTAATAAATATTGTTGTTTTCTTTTCAACGATACGTTTTTTTTTCTATTCATATTAGATACAACACCACAAGCACCTCTTAATGTTCAATATGAACAAATTTCAACAAATATTTTACTTTCTTGGGAATCTGGTTATGATGGTGGTCGAACTCAACATTTTATTATTTGGTATCGTATGATAAAAACAAAAAAAGGCCATTGGAATCAAATACGTGTATTACCTAATAATGCAACGGAATTTTTATTATTTGATTTAGAATTACAACAAACATATGAAATAACAATTGTAGGAGAAAATGATATTGGCCTAGGAACGTTTAGTGCAATAACATCAGTTTATGTAAATGATAATCAAGATTTATCTATTGGCAATTTTTATTATTCAAATGAAACAAATTTCTTAAGACCATTATCACCCATTGATCTTCATTTATCATATTCAAAATCAAATCTTTATATAACATGGAATCATCCAGATATATTTGATTCCTCAACAAAAATTTTTTATTATGTTATACAATGGCGTTCATCAATTCTTTTCAATAATCAACAATCACAACAATCGATTGTTATACCATATCCTACTCGATCATACATATTAAAAGATATTAAACAAAGCAAATATATAATACAAATAATGTCTTATTCAAATGAAGGAATATATAGCATACCAATTGAATCAGATATAAATATTCGTATGTAATTCTTTTTATTTATTAATAAAAAAAAATAATAAATTGATTTAAAGATTTAATATATTCTTGTTTTAACTTTTAATTATAGAATTTAATTCAATTCTTGCTTATCATGGTTCACATCATCTATTAATATCATTATTTTGTTTTTTAATTGTATTAACATTTGCAACATTATGTATTTGTGTATTTTTTCTTCTGAAATATTATTTTAATCAACGAAATTTTGCTACAGATCTTGAACCTGGTAAATGAAAAAATAAATCTTAATAAAAATATTCTTTTATAAAAAATTTAATGTATTTTATAGATTTAAAATTGATATGTTGGTGTTTTCCTTCGATTCAATCCAGGTAAGTTTAATTAATATTTTATGAAATTTCGATGAGATTAATATTGATGAAGACACAATGAAATAGTGCATTTTTTTTAAACTTTATTTAGATTGAATGATTGTTCTTCTGTTGAAACTGATCGATATCATACAAATCTTCTTAAATCAAATGATATTCAAAGTTCACCAATTTATTCGTCTCAACATCAAGTTCCAACTCAAACACTGACGAATTCAATTCGATCACCATCACCGTCAGATAGTGTTAATGATTCATCATTATCTTTAGCTAAATCTACAACAGTTCCACATTGTTGTGATTCAATATTATCGAATACACTTACAACGCCACAATTGACACATCAATTTATATCAGCAGATAATTCAAATGCGGTAGTATTACCTTCTCTTACTTTTGCTGCAGTATCGATAACTAATGATGATACTAAAATGAAATCATTTTTTCAGCCAATATCAGTTGATAATGCATCTCTTGTGTCTTCTAGTGATATAGAAGCTCGTAAAAGTACTTCTCGTCTACCACTTGAAGCTGTACCAGAACTAAGTGAACTTAACGTAGCCAATAGTCGATATAGTTTTACTCAATCATTATCATCGACAAATTATATATCTCATCGTTCACATTCAGTTCAACCTAGTCCTGTTCTTATTACATTCGATTCTAGTTCATTAAAACGTCGTTCATAAAAAATAACAGATATTTTTTATCTTCTTTGTTCAGATCTCACATTTAATCTATATCTGTCAGATTCAGTATCTAATGCATAATCTCATGTTGTTGTTGTTGTTGTTATTGTTATTGTTGTTATTGTTGTTGTGTTTTTATATTTCAATAGAGTCGCAGTTCATTTCATTTTTTTTTTCATATTATTCTTGTGTAATACTTTATATTGACTTCGTTTAATATCAGATAAACATAACTGAGAATGAAGAAATATAAATATATCATATTGCAATAAAAATGGGTCTAATTTCTGTTTTTCTATTCTAGATTATTATTTATACGCTTGTGAAATAATGGCTACATCACGGTAAATAATGATGTTTATTGATGATCTTTGTGTCTTTTTCTTATTGAGTTTTTTTTTATAATTAACAAAGATTTTTCTAGTTTTAATCATCAGAAAATTGAGCAATGTAATTAATACACCGTCTAGTTAAATGGTAGATTAGTTTTGTATGAAGTGTTTGAATAATTATGAACTTTTTTAAAATAATATATATTGTCTTGAATATGTTTTTTCTTATCTTTGTTTCTTTTTGTAATGTTTTTGTGTAGTATTGAAGAAACTGAATTGGGAACAACAAAGACAACTAAAGTAGTTCCCATCGTTCATCCAAAATCTGCTAAGAATCCAATTTTCTTTCCAGCAGTATTAGTTGCTCTTCAAGCAATTTTTATTATTCTTTTGGGTATACATGCTGATTATGGTCATGAACCATTGCCTACTACTCATGCACCACCTTTGGCAGCAACAACTCGTTCAACTATAACTTATCCAAATGGAACTACTGTTTTTGTTGAACATTCAGAACCAGCAGCACATCGTGGCATTGCCGATTTTTATTCAATGTTTCAAGATATTCATGTTATGATTTTTATTGGTTTCGGATTTCTAATGACATTTCTTAAAAGATATGGGTAGGCACTTGTATAAAAATTGATTATTTTATATTTAAGAGACGAAAAAAGACAAAACTAATACATTATATTTTGTATATTTTAGTTTCAGTGCTGTTGGCTATAATTTTCTTGTTGCTGCATTTGTACTTGAATGGGCATTGATTGTTCGTGGTTATATGTTTGATTTTAATACGAGCACAAATACGTTTCCTATTGATATTGAACGAATTATAGTTGCTGATTTTGTTGCTGCAGCTATACTTATTTCATTTGGTGCTGTTTTAGGCAAAACAAATGCCACACAATTAATAATAATGGCTTTTATTGAAGTTTTACTTCAATCAGCTAATGAATTTCTTGGTCTTAAACGTTTTTGTGCATACGATATTGGTGAATCAATGTTCGTTCATGTATTTGGTAAATTATACATAAAACAAAAAACATAGCTTTTTTGAATAATTTTATTAATTTTTTTCTTCTTTATTTTCTCTGTTATAATAGGTGCTTATTTTGGTCTTGCTGTATCGTATATGCTTTATGATAAAGAATTAACAAGCATTGAAGCAGAACAAAGAGAAAAATCAGTTTATCATTCAGATCTTTTCTCTATGGTTGGTACATTATTTCTTTTCTGTTTTTGGCCATCATTTAATGCTGGTGTAGCAGCATCAGGTGATCCACGCCTACGAGCTGTTGTCAATACTTATATAAGCATTGCATCTAGTGTTTTACTTACTTATATTTGTTCATGTTTATTCAATAAGGAAAAGAAATTTGATATGGTTCATGTACAAAATGCAACATTAGCAGGAGGTGTTGGTATGTTTAAATGATAAAATTTTCTTTGTTTGTTAAAAGAAACAAAAACAATTCTTTTTTTTTTTTTATTATATTATTTAGCTGTTGGTACTGTTGCTGATAAAATAATTCGTCCATTTGGTGCAATGATAATTGGTTCAATTGCAGGCACATTGTCAACAGTTGGTTTTCGATTTATTAAACCTGCACTTCAAAAATTTCGAGCACATGATACATGTGGTGTTAACAATCTTCATGGTATGCCAGGTTTACTTGCTGGTATTTTTGGTATTATTTTAGCTATGTTTCCTACTTATTCACTTCATACGGATAATTTACTTGATACATGTTGGCATGGACATGATCGATCGTACTTAGGTCAAATCGGCTATCAAGCTGCTACATTAGGAGCTACGATCTTAATTGCTGTTAGTGGAGGTATAATAACAGGTATTATACTCCGTTTACCACTACTCAATGATGATCGTCCATCATCTTATCATAATGATCATCCACATTGGGAAACCCCAGATGATTTTTATCATGATCCAAGTGCTCCTTTATTCCCAAGTCCTGTCGAACAGCATTTATAAACTGACCAAAAATACATATTGGTTTTGCATCTTGACTTAAACATTGACAAGTTTATTTTATTTTAGGCATTAGAGAATTGTAAAGTAGAAACCGCATTTTCTCAGTTTGGGTACTTTTTAAATAGAAAAACAAATTGTTCTAACGAGTTTTTGCAGTATTAGTGGGTCATATGAGTTCATTTTCATTTTTTTCTTGTATTTCTAATTTTCCCTGTTTTTTTTCCTTTTTAATAACATAAATTTCATGTGATATACATTTTCATGAAAAATGTCTCCAGAAAACAATGATAAAATGGTGTAACAGAAAAATCAATGGTTTGTTGCACACCACAACTGTATCTATGAGACCCATTTCTTCTGTCGCAAACATATGTTTGCCTTAGAACAACCAATGTAGCTGAAAATTTCTATTCAAAATATAGAGCTGTTCATGACCTATTGTAACATCAACAGTCAAAAAATAGGAGATCTCTGTGTGACAAGAGTTTCTCCTCTAAATCTAACGGTATAAATTTTCGGATTGATGTTAGAATGCAGCCAAGACTTGTCGCTACAATTGAACAAAGCCTAACGTTTCAAAATATTGTTTCTTAATTTCTGATGAAAGTGTCTTCCAAACAATTCAAAAAAATCAGGCAGCTTCTATTTTTTTCAGAAAGCAAGTCGACAACTAAAAGCTTGGCTCTATCAACTCGGCGAGCGTAATTTTTTCTGTACTTTAAAACATTTGCCGAGCTTTCTAGCATGTAAAACGGTCAAGAAATTTATGAAAGAAGTTCAAAAAAAAATAGAAAAATCTACTTTGAGAAAAATCATCAATGAATGCAGTAAATTACAGATATGGAAGATTATCCAACCGCATGAAAATCTTAAGATCAAAACTTTCTATAAAGATCATAATTTCAGACAGAGGGATTATTGACCTTAAAGTTTATAGAAGAACATAAAGCGATGGATATGAAGCAATTTAAAAAGGCAAATAATTAAGGAAATATATACTTTGAAAATTAAAAAAAACTTCAAGCTTGAAATAACCCGTGATCAGATTTTTAGTTTTTTTTGTCTATTTTTCTCACGCTGGTCATCAGTTTATATTTTCTCTTTGTATGAGAATCAGAAGTTAGTTGAAAAAAATTAATGTGTTGTTTTAATACTTGTTTTTGCATATTGTAACAATACAGCATACAATTCATTTTTCCACCGAATTTGTTTCATATTGATAGAAGACTTGTGGTAATATAATGTAAAATGCTAGAAGCAATTGTTGCATTATATCGGTATTACTAGTTTTCTTGGTTTCTTTCATTTTAACTACTTGTATATAAGGTTTTCGATATATTTTGCAATTCTGTTGTGATTTTTTCGCTAAGATCATGTATTTACAAGAATTAGTGCTGTGAAATAAATTTATTTATTAAAGAACAAAGTTTTTTTCTCACGGAAAGTTGAATTCTACATTAATGCAAGCATTTACACAACTAGCAATCATAGAAATTAATAATTAAAATATCAGGAGGTCGTCAATCAACCAATTAATACATTACTTCCAGGTGGTTTCTTTTCTATGTTGATCTTTCTAGACCTAGCTCACAGCATACATATTATAAATGCTCGCAAAATAATTGACATTCAATGTTATGTTAAATGGAATAATTCTTTTCTAAATATTATATGACCTAGAAAGATAATTCGGGCATGTCCATTCTTTACAACAAATGTATAAACAAACATAAATATGATAAACAAAAGATAAGAAAACAAAAACAGCAAGTTGAATTAATTATTATCCATGCCTGGAAACACTCTAAATCTTTGTTTGTATAAGTAATTAGTGTTTACTGTAAAAAGTACTTCACGTTAATTATTAAAAGGATGAAATCAGAAATTTCTTAGAATTTATCATACATTTCATATATATTACAATTCTCTAGACCTTGTTTTGAGTATCTAAGTTAATTTAGCAGCACATTCACGATTTTTCTTTTTAACAGACCAGTGGTCTACAGACTTGTGTTACAAAAGAAATCTTCATGTTATCTCATAGTATACCAAATAGAGTATGATATACATACCTTTAGAAAAGAATATTCCTTGTGAAAGATCACATGAAAATTTTAAAATACTATTTTTTAAACACACGTCTAAGAAAATGTTTGTTTGACGGATTTTATCAACAGAAAAAACAGTTGTATCTCATAAAATTTATTAAACCTTTTAATTGCTGTCATGTAACAATTAATGCATCATGTCTGACAAGTTCTCTTGTCAAGTTGCCACTAATGCTTTTTCCTTTTGGCACTTAAGATCGTTTGGAATAATGACGACAAGTCTAGGCACTGTGACATTGACATCAATGACAATATTTCGTGTATTGTAAGGTTGAGATGATGAATTTTCACCATGAAAGTATAAAACTGAGATTACCTCTTTAAAAATGAAGTTTGCTTTATTACTATGCGTTTTTATTTAAAATCAAATAGATCTTTATTTTCGATGATCAGGTTTTCGTTGTCTTAGATGCAGTGTTAATTCTTCCCCACATATGTTTCAAGATGATATTTATCAGTGTGATGAAGAAAATCTAAGGAATAAAAAAATTCATTATATCGTTATGAATACTCTTACTAATTGAATAAGAATGTCTTCTCTCTGTAATTGTTTTCTTTTCCTGTGATCTTTTAATGTATCGGGTGTTGATATCAGGCATATATTCAGATGTTATAGTTAAGGAGAAGACATACGAAGTTCAATTATTCGAAACAAATTTTTTCAGTTATTTAAAATGCAATATTGTGAGCATATCCAACATACTTTCCAGGCGAAGGCTTACAAGCCAATTCTGATGAGAGGCCTTTGAAAAATGATAAGGATTGGACGCAGTTTTCTAACTCTGTAGGTCTATGAATTAGTCTGATAAATTCCGACTATTTTCTGACAAAATAAAACAAGAAGTTACTCGAAACTCGTAGAAAGAATTCACAAATATTTCGGATCGATTTGCTGCATTCAAAGACCTTGATTTTTTCAAAGTTCTCCTTTGTGAGTCGATCCGTAATTCTTCACCTGAAAAGTATGTTGAAGATGCTCATTATGTTTCATTTTAACTAAATGAGAAAAAAAACTTGATTGGAAAGATTAGCTTTCTACGAGTTCTCGTTGACAAAAGTATACAAATATAGCATTGGCATCAACATTTAATAAATAGAAAGTTTATATAGGTCACAAAATGTAAATCATCATAGTGAAACATTCTTATAGGATTTGTAGGAATTTGATAAACAGACAATTAATTTTTTTTTCTATAATTTTTTTTTATCAATTGATAAATATGACCTTGAAATAGGTAGAAGAACTAACACCGCAGCTAAAACTAAACAACAAAAAGCTTTATCGTAAAAATCAAAGATTTGTTTGATATTGAGACACAGTACACAGGCATAAAAGTAATTTCATTTTCAAAAATGGTAATCTGAATTTCATAGTTTCATGGTGAACTTCATCATATAACCTTCACAGTACATGAAATTTCTTCGTTGACGTCAATGTTACAGTTCCTATATTCATCGTCATTATTCAAAATAATCTTATGTGTCAAAAGAATTCATAATCGTATCTTATATGAAGAAGAAAATCCTTCCAATGGAGGTTAAGATAAAAAGATTAGTACCAATTTGACATGAAAAACTTATCGGACACGATGCATTAATTTTTTTCATGTCAGGAATTAAAGAATTTATCAAATTCTATGAGGTACAACGTTTTTCGTTCGTTGGTAAAACTCATTGTGTTAACATTTGCTTGGAATAGCATGTTTTTCACTGAAAATCATGTTTAAAAACTAGTATTTTGAAATTTTGATGTTATCTTTCACGAGAGAAATTCTTTTTTTTTGCAAGTATGCATACGATAGTATGTTCGATGCACTATTGCATACAATCGAAATATCTCGTTTTGTAAATAAAAGTCTATAGACGAATATTTTTCAAAACTAAAAGAAAAAGAGAATCTGCTACAAAATTTATCTACATATAAAGAATAGTCTAGTTTACAACACTAAATCAGTCTAAAAAGTTGATGTAAATAGCCGTTTCTACGAAATATTCGTAGAAGAACTTGATATGTCCAAAACAGGGTCATACGTAAGAGATTTGAGAAAAATACTCATTTATAAGATGGAAATCTATTTCTAGGCTTTAATAATAAATTGACTTGCAACTTACACTAACATCTATATATATGTATACATGAACGGCTTAATCATTCATTCACAGTCATTGATAAAGCATGTGTGATGCATTCAACTATTATGAAAAGGGTGATATTCTACCAATTGAAATAATAATCCGAAATAATACATTATTTTCTTTCAGACATATCAGATGTTAATATCGTATGATATCTTAATAATTTACTTCAGACCGTTATATTTATCTGATTATGAACTAATAAATGAAATGATGATGTTAAATACAGTGATATCAATGACAACATCTATGAAGAGATGGTTTCTGATTAAAAAGAGAATACTAATGATAAGTTTAAACGTTTAGTAATATCTAAAAGTTTATTTCTCATGCAAATTTCAATGTAAAGTTCCGCCGTATTAAATAAATCACATAATAGAATATCCATGTCCAAAATAATTGAAGTGAGAATTGATATTGAAGACACATTTGTGACAAAGTAATAGACCAAGACAGAAATAGACTCTAGGAACTATTCTTTATATTTTATAGTACTTAATAATTTATTGTCAAATTACAGAAACATTAGCAACAAATCTTAACTTCAACATTCTTTTCAAATTCAATAAAATCATTGTAAAACTTGTCTTGATGTTGTAAGAAATAAATTACTAGAATTCGGTATTTTAGCTCTTTGTTTATCTTTTAAGTTTTAAAACTCATCTTATCATTTGATTTGTAAAAGTAGGACTTCATGTTCTATTGAGCATATCAGACCGTTAATAACTTATATTGATTTGCACGCGTTGTTAATTAGCATCGGTTAAGTTGTGAGAGTAGAACCGCTAAAGAAATGTTTTCATAGAAGAATTTTTTATGCCTATTTATTTTAAATAATATTAATGTTTATCTGACGATGCGCAATACACCTTTTCTTATATATTTGTTTCATCATTTCATGTGCTTTCGCTTGAGGGGTGAAAGAATATCTAACCAATCATGCTCTTCTTCACTTGGCTCTGAACGTTTTGAGATCGACAGAAGGGAAAAAGAGATGGTAACATTTTGTTTGGTCTGCTTGCGTCGTTTTTTTCACTGGTTAGATGTAAAAATGAAGCACTCTGCTTGTAACACATCAAGACCGATTGTCTTGCTTATTTCCTTTTTTCCTCTACTTGCTACGGCACGTACATAGACGGGAGAGAAGCGAGCGAGTAATCGCTCTCTTCTTTTTTTCAGTAGACGATGGAATACACAAATAGTTACAATAGCGATGACTTTTTCAAGAGAGAGAGAGAGAGAGAAATGGCTGTTGCCAATGCGCCATGATTGACTACTAGATAGCTGGTTATTCTGCTCGTTTTCTAGTATACAACATTCCAGAGGTAAAAAAATACAAATCGTATTGATGCCAGTTAAAATATTTTTATCCTTTTATTTTAGACAAAAATCATGGATATACATTCACTTATGGGTAGAGCTTCGACAATGATGTCAGGCAAACGAAATGATGATAGTATGTGTGATAGACTTAATTATCGATATACTGTCGCAATTTTGGTAATTTTTGCAATTATTAATATGAATCGTTTGTATACAGATCAAATTAAATGTTGGGTAAAAAGAAATTCTTTGATTTAAAAATATATGATATCTATTACTGCTATTGTTTTTCTTTGTTTAAAAATAGGTACCAGCATTTTTTACACCAAATTATGATGAATATGTTCGATCAGTATGTTTTGTTCAAAATACATATTATATTAAACATACTGATAAAATACCCAAAACATATGAAAATAAAAAAGAAAATGAAATATTATATTATCAATGGATTCCATTTCTTTTACTTATCAAAGCATTTTTATTTTACGTACCACGTATGTCATGGAATGCATTTGGTTTAAAAAGTGGTGTACAAATATCTGATCTTGTTGAATCATCTTTTGATTATAAATTACCAACAACAGATGCAATACATCGACAAATGTGTCTTAAATATGTTGTAGATACAATCGATGATTATTGTAATGATCATCGTCGACAAATAAATGCACGAAAACATTTAAATATATTTCAACGAATTTTAGCAGCTGGTTGGTGTCTAACAGGAATATATCTTGGCAATTATCTTGTTGTTTTATATACAACAACAAAATTAATGTATATTAGTATATCATTGCTTCAAATATTTATATTGAGTGTATTATTAGGTTCTAATTTTGCTTTTTATGGCGTAAGAGTTATTGATCGCTTATTTCGAGGTTAGATTTCTGTTTTTTTTTTCATTACTTGATTCAAACAAAAACAATTATTTGTTTTTTGTTTAGGTATTAGCTGGGATACAGAAACACGTTTGTTTCCTAAAACAACATTATGTGATTTTACAGTACGTGAATTTGGCCATCCAAAACAAGCTCATGAATATACTGTGCCATGTGTGTTACCACAAAATTTATTTAATCAACAAATGTTTACATTGCTTTACTTTTGGTATGCTATTGTGATTTTACTTAATATTGGCGATTTTTTTCTATGGTTATATACAATATCTTCTGAAAATCGTCGTGCATTTATTCGTAAACGTCTTCATTCAAAGAAATTTCCATTAACTGACAAAACAAAAGATCAAGAAAAAATTAAAATATTTGTTAACGATTATCTTGAAGCCGATGGTTTCTTTATGTTAACATTAATAAAAGAAAATAGTTCAGATTTTGTTGCATCAGAAATTGTTTACCGTTTATATACAGAAAAATTCCTGGAAAAATATTTCAAAGAAACAGCAACAACAACTATTTATGATGCTATCGACACAAAACAATTTGAAGATTCTATGAATAACACTAAACGACGTCAACCTCTATGTTCAATGATTTGTTAATATAGCTGTTTTTTATATAAAATTTTATTAAAAATCATATATATAAATATATATGTTTATCATTGAAAATGTATTTTTTTTTTCTTTTAAGAAAAAAACATTTCCTGCTTTTGAATAAGAATAAAAACGTTGATTACAAGAAAAAATTTGCACTCGAAATAATACTCGTTTGAAAAAGAACAATAAATATAAGAAAAAATGTGATGCCAATAAATATAAGTTTACCCGGTCGAATAGTTAATCCAAATAATTTCACACGTAATTCAGCTTTGGAAAGAAAAAGTAGAAAACCATCAAGTTCATTAGACGTAGCATTATGATATCCATAGACGCGCATTGAAAGGCTAATACGATAAAATTTATCACATTTAGATGTTACTCGAGCTGCCTAGAAAAATTAAAAAATGAACAAAATAAAATCAATAAACAAATTCAATGACTTACTTGTCCAAGACAAAAAGCAAGAATGGAAAACCAGAGCACTGTATACAAAGATCGATATATCCACATATTAACTTGAAATATACGATTAAGGACCAATAAGATAAAACCTTGAGAATAAACAGAAATAATATATACATAAATATTATTCTAACGATTTTCTATTCAAAATTTTAAAAATATAAACATCAAAGTCTTTCAAATAATATTGTATCTACAATAATCTTTCGTTCTAGATAATTTTAGAACGGAAAAAGAAATTATATCAAAACAGATATCTATTGTGTTTGCTAATTAAAGATTTTATCTTGTCCTTACGAAGCAAAAAATATCACGAGATGGTAAATCGAGACGCGTTATTCTTTTCTGGAATTTGATTTCTATTAATATTTTTATAATCGAGAAAAGTCAACATGTTTTCACATGATCTAATGATTTAAAATGTGATTACATATATTATGCTATTGATATTTTAATTAATTTTTAAATCTTTCAGCATCATAACAAGATTCTACAGATATAATATTGATGAGTTTATAAATATCATGTTTTCGAGAGTAGATGTTCATTGCAAATTTTTTGTTGCTTCTCTCAGACGTATTAAAAAAACTCATTCATTTTAAATAAATAAAAATTAAATTTGTATACCAAGTATAGTGCGTTCAAGAAAGAAAATAATCAATATTGACATCATTCGTGATGCAGCACTATTTAATTGACTAATTGATGTACCAAGATCAAGAATACGTTTCATAGCTTCGAGAAGATGTATTGACTTTTCTTCTAAACGTATTCGAATTGCTTTGGAATAAAAAAGTATCATTTCACAATGACACACATAATTCATAGCAACAGCCATATGAATACAATTCGAAATAAGAAGACAAATAATATCAATTGTAAAAAGTATATATCTTATAGGTCTTCTAAATAAGAAAAAAACAACAAAAAAAAAATATTACAAAATCTAAATTAACTCTATTTAAATAAGCTCACTCTTTTACAACATGATATGCTGTTTCACGAAAAATGAGTGTATGAGCAAAATCATTCATAGCATTTGAAAGTGCATGTGTAGCTACAGATACAATCACCCATATACATCCAATCAATAAAAATAATCTAAATTGAAGAAAAATATTGAAAACTAACAATTAATAAATTATTTTCACTTTAATCGTCGAATAGCTCGATTTGTACCAGATAGACGCACATTTTGATCAGCATAAATAAAAACCTATTTAAAATAAATCAAAATCAAAATGGAATTTCTTTTCTTTTTGTGATTATTATTTTTACTTTTTCCATTAGAGAATACATAGGTTCACCTTCAGTAACACGAAAATGAATGAAACCAATGATAAAAGCAGCAAAATGAAATATATCAGGTAATATATAAGTAGTAAATATATGACCACAGTTGACATGCGTGTGTATCAAAGACATATTTGCATTTGTTGTATGTGGAATAGTTATTCCAGGTTTTAATGTTGCCCAAGTTCCTGCTGATTGATTTTTAATTGAACTCGTTGTTAGAAGGCTTGTTGTCATTGTAGTAGTCGTTGTTGTTGTTGTCTATTTAAAAGTAAGTTTTATTAATTTGATTCGAATAAAAAGAAAAAGAAAACGAAAATGTATACTTGTGTATCTGTTCTAACATTAAGTTTTCCTTGACAAATAATAATTTCATAAGTATAATTAAACAGAAGTAATATTAATATAAGAATTGGATAAATAATATTGACAATACGAAAGAAAATTGATGAACGTTGCAAACTATCAACACCGAATGGTCTCCAACCAATCTGATGAAAATTAAAAAATAACAGAGCTTCATAAATATATAAATGATATAACTTACCAAACAAAGTATTTTTCGAAATGGATGAAGTATTTGTGTTTTACATCGCATTAAACTTAATGTTGTTGGATTTGGACAATTATTATCAAGATCCGAAATCTTAATAAAGTTTAGAAAAAAATTATTAATAGATTATTTGTATTCATAAAACATAAAGTATTTATAAATTTATGTCTTGTTTTTCAATGCCACTAGGTAATGCAAATGAATTACAAAGTTAAGCAAAACAAAAGTGCATTATAAAATAATTCAGTTTTAAATAATTTGTATCAATAGTCTTAATAGAGTCTATCAGAGTCTACTAAAGTCTGTCAAAGTCTATCACTGTTAATGACAATGTCTGTGTAGATGTAAGTGTGATTTGTAGGTATAAGTGTGTATGTGAATGTTAATACACCAACATGCTCTTTAGCAGTGATAGATTCTCGTACATCCTAGTATACTCTGATATACCCTAGTATATTCTTGAAATAAATCTCTTCTATAACATATAGAAATTCAGAATAATTTTGTGATTCTTTTTTCCTTATGAGCTCTTCAATGTTTATTCATTCGAATCTGAGAGAATATCAATCAATTCAAAAGTATTTATTATAATAGTTGTCTTTTTCTTACTTCGACTTTGATACAATCAAAATCATCGTCAATATTTGTTGTTTTATTTACATTATTGCCAGAATTATTATTTATTGACACTACCAATGGCTATAATAAAGAAAAGATAAATAAATATAGTATGTTTTTTTTTAATTTAAATTTTTTAATTACTTTTGAAGAATAAATATTACTTGCTGCCATTTTTTTGACAAGTATTTTTTTTATAACTATTTTGAAGAAAAAAGTTCTTCTTGACTTTGCTTACTTTATCTTTGACCGTTTAATGACTATTGAGTTGTCTTATCATACATCGTTCGAAACAAACGAAAACATTAAAGAAGACAAATAGAATGAAACATATGGGTAAAACACGTTGGTTACTTTGTTACTTAAAGGAATAGAAAAAAAAAATTAATTTTATAAAAATGGAGCATGATGAAGTTCGTACACAAATAGGCAAGATGCTTTCATAGTGACCTTGATGTTAGTCTTTTTCTTCATTTTATTCATTCTTATCTACAGCAACGTTTTGAAATAGATAGTATTCATCATACATTTACACTTCAGCATATGTAACTGTATATTGTCTTTTGCTTCTATTTATTTGTTTAATATATATCTATATATATAATGATAAACATAAAAAAGAACAACAAAAAAAAAATCCTGAATTAAACCTTTCAATAATAACAGATGTTAATGAAAGATTATATCAAGCAGACATAATATTCCGAATACAACATTCAATAAGATTTATTCGTATAGTTGATATATTTATTAATTTATTCTTGTTGTTACAAGACTATGATAGTAGGCGATGATTTCTTGTCATCAGATGACTAAACGAAACGAGAAAATGAGAACAGTTATATTTTTATGCATCTATATATCCAGATTAATAATCTTTTGTTAAGATGAAGAAACGATGTCAACTATCTCATCTGTTAATCCATTTTGCAGTAGAAGACATATATAGATATTGCTTTATACCAGAATGCATGAGCTAATATTATACCCTTGTTTAACCATAACAAGACACAACATGCAATCGAGCATAAATAGAATAATATTCGCATATTCGAATGTGTAACTATCATTTTTAAGAAGACAACAACAACAACGACGGCTGTAATGTATTTGACGATACCTATATGGCATTAACCAGACTATGAAATTTTGGATCGTCAAGTCGAGCAATATCACGTACCATTGATTGACGTCATACACGTAATCAAAACTTCTCGCCTCTTTGTTTCATATAAATATCTCTCAGCACCAATTATCAGAGAAGTCAAAAAACTTAGCTTTTTTTACCCTATTACGATCATATAAACTTTTTCTGTCGTTTCTTACCAATCAAGCAATATGCATACATATAAAGTCATTGGGATTCATATGACTTAGCCTTCATTTGTTGATGAGCAGAGAATTGAATCATTTGTTAGATGTGCAAAGACAGAAGTTGCCTAAATCAGGGTCATATGCATGTATGCACGTAAACAAAAGGACGGGAAAAGAGGTCGATGAGAATATAGAATAATCAGTAACGGATCTATTAACAACACAAAAAGATAGAGAAAAAAGAACCGTATAGAATGAAGGAAATATTTTCATAATTGCACAACTATCTTCATACTTTCCAGTTTCTTTTTACTAGTTTGACATTTTTAAGTTTCGTTGACAGAATTTTAGATTACGAGACATAATATTTTCGATTTGACCTTGAAATTTGACAATGGCCAATGGTGATTCTCAGAGCGTTAATGGTGCTCTACTCAGTGTTGATTCTCAACATCTCAATAATGATATAATGAAACAATCATCAGCATCATTATTAGCTAAACCAACACCTAACAATGTTAAATGGACACTACGAAGTACTCTATCAAATGCCAGTCTAACTCGATATCGATCACCTTTTCGTCGAAATAGAATGAATACTGGATCTATTAATTCACAATATTCATCTACATCTTCATTTCCATTATTTCGTCATTTTTATCTTATGCGAAACTCATTTTCAAGACGACGAGCACAAGAGTTACCTAGTAAAAGTAATGGCTCAGATGCATTAGCATCTTCTAAAAAGAAAACCAAAAAAATTCCTTCATCATCACGTATTGAAATTAGTCATGTACTTACCACAATTTTCATTACACTTGTAAGTGCTTGTCTTCTCATATTTATGATTTTTCTGGATTTGGCATACTTAAATGATGCTATAACAACCCCTATTAATCAACAAATGATTAGTGCTAGTACCAAAAATAGTACTACACTATGCTTTCGTCATCCAAAAGTATGCGTAATGAAAGGTTTAGTTATAATTATATTCATTTGTATAACTGTAACATTATGTTATACCATTTTAACGTTATATATACGTGCAAGACGTCATTCACGTTTATTAGAACGTAAAACAGATGAATTAGAAAAAGAAAAATGTTTGACAGAAAAATTACTTCATGAAATATTACCGCCATGTGTTGCAAAAGATTTAATTAATGGACGAAAAGCACCTGCAGAATATTACGAGTCAGTAACTGTTTATTTTTCGGATATTGTTGGCTTTACTATAATAGCAAGGTAAAATAATATTATTCGAACATTCTTTTTTTTAATTATTTCTAATTAATACATATAGTATGTGCTCACCAACTGAGACTTGTGATATGTTAAATCGTCTTTATTCTATATTTGACTCTCTATTGGAAAATTTCGATGTTTATAAAGTGGAAACAATTGGAGATGCTTATATGGTTGTGTCAGGAGCACCTAAAAGAAATGGTGATAAAGTAAGTTTATTTATCTAAGCCGATAATTATCACATAATGAACTAATGTTTCTTCATCTATTGAAGCATCCCAATGAAATTGCTAACATGTCATTAGCTTTGCTTCGTTGTAAACAACAAGTTCGTGTACCTCGATCATCTGCTCAACTTCAATTACGCATTGGAATTCACACAGGTTTTTATTTTAGCTATATTTATATAAACATATACTCATGAAAGAATTTATGAGAAAAATTCTTTTTAAAAATTTATCGACATAAAATTAACAAAATAATTGATCATAATCGTTGCATTATTTATAAAAGAATTTCAATGAATGTATATTAGACTTGAAAGAAATTTTATGAAATTCTGAAATAAATTCCAGTAATAAAATAGTATAAAAGAAATAATATAAATCTATTCATTAGTATTTTTTGTTTGCTTATTATTAACTTGTAATATGAAACGTGAGTAAGATTTAGATCTTTTGATGCTGCTTTCCTTATTTCTTTAACGAATATCAATAGAACTTCGTAATAATAAAATATATGAAAAAAACCAAGACGCAAGATTAATTTCTATTTCTTTTTATAACATAAGAAAAACGAGAAGAAAAGAAAATAGCACGATAAATTTGTAATTGGATATTTATATTTTTCTTGTCAACAGCATATTGTTGATCCATCCTGTTACTTTCTTATAATATTCTTGTCGTTCTAGGCAATATCCTTGCATCCTGATGACAGTTTGAAGGGCTTGTCATTCATCACGAATAAAGATATAGGAAAGTGTTCTAGGTGATTCTTTGAATCGAAAATTCTTTTAGATATAGAAAAATTGATGAGAGACAAAACTCTTCGTAGATATTGACATTCATAATGCAATTACATCTATGATTGATAGACGATAAAATTATATAAGCAAGTACAAATATTTTTGTACTTATTGAGAAGCATAATGTGACATGTACAATACTTAATAATTCTTGAAACATCTTCAGAAAATGAGGATTTAACACAAAAAAAAAACAATATGACAAGAAATGAAAAACTCATACTTGCCGATATAAAAGAAAAAAGAATTAAAAAAAAGCATTTATGTTTCATGGATATTATAATATATTTATTTTTTCTAAAAATCCTAGGATCGGTATGTGCTGCTGTGATTGGATCAAAAATGCCTCGATATTGTATGTTTGGTGATACTGTAAATGTAGCTAGTCGAATGGAATCAAGTGGACTACCTGAAAGAATTCATTTAAGTAGTGATACATACAAACGATTAATTAATCGAGATCAATATATATTTGAAGATAGAGGAGAAATTGAAATTAAAGGTAAAGGTCGAATGGGTACCTATTTTCTCTTGGATAAAAAACCAATTCAACATGTAACAAAATCACGTTCAAATACGTTAACTAAGACAGAACGCGAAATTCAATAAATTTTTTTTGTTGTGATATAAACTTTTTTATTTTAGTTTATTTATTTATTATTGTTCACTTTTGTCTTTCCATTCAATGTATATGTTCACAAATATTTTTCATAAATATTTAATCAACTAAGTTTATGAAAGATGGCTTTTAAAGTTTGATCGTTTTGGCAAATTATTTAATAAAATGCTATCAAGTCCACTTTTTTACATAGTCTTACCATGATTAGTTGTGTTTTTTTATGATTATTCAAATAATCTGTACGTAAAAGTCTTGGTATAGCATGTTTGTTCAAGTTTCATCTGCTTATAAGTCATGAAAGACAACCGAAATTAATCAACTAGAATTAGAATTTCATGCTCTTTGTATGTATATATATATATCCAGAATGGTCCTTTCTGGCTTATAGTTAGTTCTTTAAGAAAAATGTGTTGATGGAAACTTCAAATAACCCATTTGATTCGAATTGGACGAAAACCACCGGTTTTGTTTTTGAAAATGACGTATCATGATGTATTATATCGAAACAAGTGAATATTTTTGAAATATGTTAAATCCGACAGAATTGAGTCGATTTCGATGCTCTTTGATGACGTTGATGCGTTTCAGTCACCTACACTAGCCGTAAAGCTCGAATCGACTCTCGTTCCGAGATAAAGCTTTCATTGGAGATCGCGTCGCAAAACTTTTTATTAATAAATTATATTCTGAAATGTTTTTGTCAATAAATTTGAATCCTTTATAACAATAAATTCGAAGTTGGATAGAAAACGCTGTCTACGACCGTTTATAGTTGAACTCCAAAGTCATAAATATTACCGCTGATTTTTACGAATATCGCGGTCTACTGGCGGTGCTGAGAATAAATATGTGACATGTGAACATCGGTCGAAAATAATAAATAAAAATATATTGGTAAATATGTTTGCTCTTTTTCTGAACAGTTAAACATCATCGAAGAGAATCAACAGAAGCCTGTTAGAATTAAAATTTGATACTCTTTCTTAATGTGAAATGAGAATTTTTCTCTGACTTACGCCTGATTAGTTTCGAGGAAACATCCGAATAAATCGAAAGTATTGTTTGCAATGAATCAAATAGACTATTTTCTCTTATTCATAACTGCTCAAAGAAACGAGAATGTCTAAAAACACATTTAAACATTTTACTTATGGTCCTCGTTCGAGCTCTGTTACGTCCATTCATAAAAACATCTAAAGCAGCTAATTTCATCATTCAGACTGCTTAAAAAGGGAATTTTAGCATATAAAAAGTGTCCAACAAATACTCTTCAAATATTTTCAATACACCTCGCGTATAACAGAGTTATTTTCATTTTACAAAACAAATTACAATATTTTGCGGAACAAATTATTTTGAACATTTTCTAGATGTTAAATTTGCTTTTCAAGCGACTTCGTGCAGATTTTATTTTCAAAGTAGCTAGTTTTAGTGTTTTCTAAATGAACATAAAAACACTCAAAGGAGAATTGCGATTGGAGTGTTTAAATGTGTTTTCAAAAATTCTTGTGTGCTTGAATACTCTGAATGATATTTTCGATTAGTTTTGATATTTTTTATTATAGCACGCAATCGAATTTTCTACAAAATCATGTTTCATTCACTAAACTAATGGTCATAACAGTCGGAAGATATAAAAGTCTTCTGAATAACTATCCATTGCGTGAGGAAGCATGATTATTTAGAAAAAAAGGTTGTTTTGTCGAATTTCAACATTTTCAAATACAACAGATGGTGATAGGTACTCAAACAGATAAAGTTTTACAAAAAAAGCATGTAAACACAGGAAAAAACTTTTTTTTGGACGTTTAAACGCGCATCAAAAAAATGATCATGTAAACATGAGTAAACTTAATTATTGTTTGGGTGTGACTGCAGTTAAAACTCTTTCAATCAATATCAATGAGCACGTCAATATTCGAAATCTTGGTTTTTGAACGATTTAACATTCACTTCTTTTCACAAGTATATACATGCTTGAAAATTCTAAATAATATTCGTTTCTGACCCACATTTTCATCACAGAGAGTGGTTTGTTAAAAAATCAGTGTGTCATGTTAATAAATTATATAGAGTAACAAGACAAAGTAGATTTAATACAAAAACATTTATTTGTGAAAGAAAAAGAGATAAAATGAGTATGATCTCGCATTCAATAGTTAATAAAACATATGATTAAAGTAAAGAAACATCTCGTTCTGTGTTTCATTTCCGTCTATTGAGATTCTGATAATAATGACAAAGGCGTGAAATATGCAATTGACCCTATCTCATTCAACATAATCTTGTTCGTATTTCTTCAATCAGGGTTCACGCTTAAGGAATTATTTTCATCTATATAAATCTCAATATAAGCTTTTTACTCTGTTCTCTCCTATATTCACGTTGATGATGATCGGCTGTGACAATAAGCAGAAAGAGAAGACATTTCAAAGGCAATATTCTTGTACCGAGGTTTAAATTTCTCTTCTTTCTGTGTCATGTTTGAATGTCTCTCTCTTTCCCTTGCAGTTGAGTGGAACTCTGTCTTAGCTAAACTAAAAAACCCTATAATAAACATGAAATTCGATACGCACATGTCTTTTTAAATGATCAATGTAAATCGTTCTGAACTTTTATCTATGACCATAACCTTTCTGTGTCATTTTTTCATTTGTGTAACTTTCTATTGCGTCTGTTGTTTCTAATTTGCCTACATTTTTGTGCAGTAATTTATACCTTGTGTGTTGTCCAGCTTTAAGTGTGCAGAACACTTTTCCAAAGTCTATAGATTTTCGTTTCAAACTAAATAATGAACAAAAAGTCCTATCCATTCTTCCCAAATCGTGAGGATTTAGTGATTCTAAAACAAAAAAGCAAAACACCTCTTAGAACATCATATGATAAACATGTTACAGCCAAATAAAAGAAGTAACAAACTACATTTATAATAATCATAGCATCCTCAACCTTATTCTAAGAACATGTTCTTACTGAAGAGTGTAAATGATATTATATATCCTATATATCCTCTATACCCTCCATTTTTCTCGGGTACAAGTCTTGCGAGTATAAATTCTATAAGCGCGCGAGCCTTCCATTTCAGTTTGAAATTGAGCTCCTTTCTTTCTTTTGAATTTCGATTGAAATGAGATAGATCATTGTATGCTTTTCCAAGGTTTCTTTTCTGCTTGGATTAACAGATAGATAGAAGGATGAGATAAATAGATACTTGTATAATGAAAAGGCATATATGTAGATCGACAGATATATAAGTAATATTAGTATATGGCTAGCTAAATAGATTTATTCAAGTAAGATTAAAAGTAAAATTATCGATAGTTAAATGTCCAAAGCTAAAAATGTCGAATGATACAAATATCAAAGAAAAATATTGCTAGTTATCTCTATCCGAACTTTCACTTATTTGATTTGCCGGCATGTTTGTAGTTTGGCATTTTATCTGTCAATCAACTTTAAGGTTACCAACTAATTAGTTAGATAATTAGACAGTAAGATAGTTAGTGCAACATACTTGTAATTAGATAAATAGTCAGACATTTAATGAAGCAGATGTTTAGGCAAATAGCTATGTTGATAGTTAGACAAGTAATTATATTAATAGTTAGATAGTAAGCTTGCCATGTTGTTAAAGAGATCGTTAATATCAATTGTAGAGTTAAGTGATAGCAGGCATTTTTTTTGAATAATTATGAAACAGTAAGAACTAAACAGTTTATGAGTTTCCAGTCCTATCAACAAACCACAAAGCTTCTGCTGCTTTTCTTAAGAAGCATATGATGAGCCTTGAAGATGATATCCACTCGGCCGGGATAAAAATTATTTTCAATTGTAATATAATGCTTGGAACAATTTCTTACAAACTTAAGTTTTGAAAAATTATGATGTATAGTTTCCAATAAAGTAATATCTTTGTACCTTCCGAACGAAAACAGTTAGTTATAGCAGTCTTATATTGTTTGACAAAAAAAATACTGGATTTTCTTAACACGATATTACATTTGAGACTGATATTTTATTTAGGTCGGATAGTAATTGTCTTGAAAATTGGGAATGTGCCCAAGATGAAAAGCAAGAGATTCCGTGATTGGTTGTGAAAAAAAATAGAGCAATGCCAGTTACAGATAGTGCGGAAGATCTGAATCTAATACTTGTTCTTTGTTCAAAATAAGTCGAGGTGCACTTAAAATCTGAAATAACATTAGTTAGATACATATATCGATGGATAATAAGTTAAGTAGGTAACGACGTTTTTAGACATATAATCAATAGATAGATAGGCATAGTTAGATCGACAATTACAAAGTAGCTAACCAGGTAGGTAGGTAGATAGTCAAGCAAGTATATGGATAGCTTGACAAACAAATATATAGGTACGTAGACGCACAGTTAAGTATGCAGATTATTAGGGGATAATTAATGAGATAGAAAAGCATATAGATAAGTTGGTAGATAACCAAGCGAATTGTAGATGGATCGAAAATATGTTCGTAGATAGATAGATGGATAGATAGACTGCGATATGTGTTTATATGGAAGTTAATGGATCAAAAGATAGATCTCTATATCTGTTAATCAATTATTGATATCCTATGAGCGCTTAGACAATAGAAATACCGTGAGAATAACAAATTAGAAAAGAAATGGAAGTCAAGAAAAAAACTGCAGTGTTTTAATGCAAGAAATATCTGATCATCTCAAGATACCAATTAAGGTTTCCAAATGTGAGTCAGAAATGCTTACAAAAAGTAAATATGAAAACGACTAGAAATCTATGACGCATAGATGATCAAAAATTTTAGACTGTGTGAGAAATCATCGTTTTTATTTCGCATATTTCCGAATTTCTTTGAATAACAACCGAGAATCTTGATTGATATCCGAAAGTTATCGGGATGTTTTTAGTGTTTTCATGCGCTTTTCATTTGTTTTTGTTTGCTTGCGTAATGTCATCAATGTATAACTAACTAATCGAACTTTCATGTTGAAT